ATACATGCTTCTGACAAAAGTCCCAACTTCCATGTTATCATTTGTTCTACTATTAAAATCAGGTAATGTGTTTCTTTCAACAACATGAATGTTCTTTGAATGGTTATTTTAAAAGCATGTTTTTAAACATGTTTGGAACATGACACTTCTGATCAATTTTCATGTATTATGATTAAGAGAATACGTTTCAAGGTATGATTGGTTCAATACAATATGGCTAATCCTCTGGAATCAACTAAAGCCTTCTCAAGAAGAAAGTCATGCTATGCATTGAAGACAGTCTATGACATTTTAATTATGAAATAATTGAAAAATCAATGAAACTGACATTTTTTTAAAAGACTGTAAGATAGATTTTGTTTTGACTTTTCTTCCTCTAACTTGTACCTTCCTTAAAAACAAGCTTCTAAAATAACCAATCCATTATTTTGAAAGTCATTTCATGATAAATTTATAAAATCACAGTGCCCTAAGTTTACTTAGGTCACCTTTTGCCTCATCTCTGAGCACTGAAGCAAGTTTTACATAAAGAATTCCTGACACATTGTACATTTCTCTTAAAGCTCTTCAGAGGAGACTGAGTCGAGTTCCTTCTCCTTGCTGACTACACACTTTATTTACATCTGGCCTAAATCTCCACTGCAGTAATTTGAGAGTACATCTTGGCTCTGTGTCCCCCAAAAAGAGAAATGATTATTATGGACCACCATATATAATATAGAAAACCTATTGCTGATGAAGGGTGAAAACGATCTGTCGGTGTTTACATAAAGAAATCATAAAACTAATCTAACATATAAAAGTCTCCAGGAATAGAACTCAAGAGCTTAATTTTACAGTAAAATTTAATATAAAAAACAAATGTAAAGTAGTCTGTTGATTATGGGAGGATCTGAACTGAGCTGCTTAGCTAAAACCTTGATCTTCCCACCATAGCTCTAAACTCTCAATATGTTATTACTGCCAAGCTTATTAAACACTTCTGTATTTCAATTGTAAGAGGCAGTCAGAAATGGCTACCACGTCATCATAGTACAGTTTGATGTTGTTTCTTAAAATTCAGCTGCCTTTCTCAATATCTGCTAGTAGCATCTTTAACAGTGGCAGCAATTCAAAATTACTCTTAGAATCCTTTCTACATTTCAGAAATGAGTACTGGAAAAAGTCAAGAGAGGGAAAGTATTTCCTTAATTTCTCTGTTTCCATCTGAAAAGCATGGAATAGTCACATACTTAAGTCTTTTGTTGTAAGTGTAGGCAAATTACAACTCCAAAAAAAAAAAATGGCAATGTTTATATGTTACTCCCTTAGAAGAAATAGCCAGAAATTATAAAAATAGTAGAAGCATTTTAATATATTTTAATTTAGAGGGTAATTTGAGACTATTTTTTCTAAAGCAATACTGGTGCACATTATACTCATGTAGATACAAAGGCACATTTTGTTATGATGATTATATAAATCCCCACTGCCATAAGCTCTGTTAGGGCAGATATAATGTCTACCTTGTTGAGTGGTATTCTCTGTTTACATGGTAGGTGATCACATGGTATGTATTTAATATATGAACCAAGGAGTCACCTGGGCTTACAAAAATGCAAAACATATTTAATAGGTATGGAAACATGAGACTGTGGCTCAAAGACCACCAACTACAGTGAGATTACATGACCAAGGGTCCCAACTTCTGGGCTCCAAAATCCATCCTCATGATTCTACCAAGGCCATGATTCCCATGGGCGGCCCCCAACTAATGGTGGATCATCCCTGGCAAACAAGGGACCCTAAGGCATTATAAGGCAAGTTTATCCCTGGGAAACAAGGGACTCCTTTGGAGGGAGACTTTAACTCAATGGCTCCCTGAACATTTTGTTAAATCTTCCTGGCCTGGGACATTTCCATGCTTCTGTAAGATTTTCCCTCTCTCTCTCCATCCTTTGTAGACAGAGTATCATGGACATCTAATGTTCCTGTCTGCCTTAGCCAGCTCCTCCCCTTTTTCTCTTACAGAATTTTTCCCCTAATAAAGTCCTCACATGCTTAATCCTGTCTTCACAGCTGTTTCTTGGAGGACCTGGTCTAACACAATAAGTGACTTCCAGGCAGACCAATTCTCTTTGGAAAATTAGTAACTCTACTTTTGAACCATCTTGATCTATTTTACCATGAATTAATATATTGCATTAAAATATAAGGATATACTATGTAACTTTTCACTATAAATTCATATACCACACAAGATTTGACCATAAGTTATCCTTTTTTTTTGAATTACAAATGATTAGTCCCTAGTCAAGATCCATACCTTAGGCATATGCTAAATAAATTATCACTTGTACTTTTAGAAGAGTGAGTTGACTTACACCATAAAGTTCATTGCTCAATTTGGACTTTTACTTTTCAGCATATGTGATATGCATATCTGAATAATATGTAACTTTTGAGTAAAAGCCTTAACATCTCTAATTCAATAGGAATCTCTCTTATTCATTTACAAAAATGAAAATGAGTATTCATATGTTGAATGTTATTCTGTTTGGTGAATACAATTCTCCTTATAGGATGCCAATCAGCTTTCCAATTGTTTTACAATATATTGAATGTATTTCTACTCAAAGTGGTATAATATCTTGCACAGAAAACCTACCTAATATTTCTTCTTGACATCTGTGAATGTAGTATTAGCTTATGATTCCACTCATTAATGTCATCTACTATACTAATGTAGAGTTTGGGGGATGAGCGTTCTTCCAAATCATAGTTGCACATATTTTTAATTCTGTGAATAACAATAGTTAATGTGCAAAGGTAGGCTTAAGTGAGGACAGAATAAGGAGCTGAGTCTTCCATGAGCCTGATGTTCAGCAAAGATGTTTTCAGACATACTGCCTCATTGCAGAGGTTGATGCTCCATCCTATAATCCCTACATCTTTGCCTCATCCTGGGCCTCTCTGGGGTTCTCATCCCTTCCCCAGTTACCCACAACGTACCTCCTTCAAGGCTGAAATCTACAGGGAAGCAGATGGATCCCACAGTTAAGACAGTTGAGGCTTTGTTTTTGTTGCTGCTTGTTTGTTTAGATTTTTACAATTCTCTGTGGCTTCCTAAGCTGTGTCATAGCTACTGATGAAATAAGATCCTCTAAGGTAATTTTAAAAATAATGTTCAGAAATACCTTAATTACATATCCAAAGGTAAATAGGCAGAGCTAGTTACATACCCAGAGCTGAATAGTCTCCTAGACACTAGTGTCCTTACCTCCAGAGTAGTCTGAAATAGCTATAAATATTTCCCAATATTAAATATGAAATAACTAAATATATTCCCTTTTTTTTTTTTAAATGAGACGGAGTTTCGCTCTTGTTACCCAGGATGCAGTGCAATGGCGCGATCTTGGCTCACCGCAACCTCCGCCTCCTGGGTTCAGGCAATTCTCCTGCCTCAGCCTTCTGAGTAGCTGGGATTACAGGCATGTGCTACCATGCCCAGCTGATTTTTTTGTATTTTTAGTAGAGATGGGGTTTCACCATGTTGACCAGTATGGTCTCGATCTCTTGACCTCGTGATCCAGCCACCTCGGCCTCCCAAAGTGCTGGGAATACAGGTGTGAGCCACCGCGCCCAGCCTTTCTTTTGCTTTTCACAAAGGGAGAACCTAGCCAAGTTTTTGCATCTGAAGTTTAGTCTAAAGCTAATACTCACGTGCTCAGACTTAAGAGTACACATTGTCTTATCTGTTAATTATACATCAGGGGGCAAGATTTGAATCAACTTTAAAGCTACAGAACAAAGTGGAATCATTTCATGCTAAATACATTATTGGTTATATGTGTATTCTTAGAGTAAATGATACATACACATGTCAGTCTTAAATAGTTGGATTTATATAATAACACTGTGAGACTCCCTTGGAATTTTTCAGTTAAGCTTCCATACATCTAAGAAGTACTTTGCACTTATTTTTTTGTGTCCACAATAGGTAGTGGAAGAACATTACAATTCATGGTATTTCCCCTGTTTGTTAGGAGAATAAGAACACATAATCTTGGTGCTCATCATAGTACTTGAAAGCCTATAAATATTTATTTGCTGAACTATTAACCTTCTCAAGGGCCAATATTTTGATCATTCACATATGGGTTTAATCAAACATTCTCAAGATTCTGAGATTAGGTACAGGGAACATAAGGAATGATTAATTGAGGTACAAATAACTGCAAAGGTCAAAAAACAAAATTCCATTTACAATCTCGCACCAAATATTTCAGACCAGTGTCATATACCAGATTAGGAATCAAAATTAGGCTACAAGAAGTCCCCTCCCCACAAATAAGGTGAAATTGCAATACTCTTAATGATTTATGTATAACTGAAAAGAAAATATCTATTAAAATTTACTTTTCAATTTAGTCCTTGTTGGCAAGTGTAAAAAAATGCAAATATATTCTGATCTTAAAATGGCAACATTACACTTCTACTCCAGTGCTGTAATTAAAGGTAATTGATAGAAATAAATAAGAATTATAAGGCATTTAGATTGCATCTGAGCAAACATGACTGCCAAGGGCAACACTGCAACAAGGCAAATAGAATCCAAATCATAACCTGAAGCATATTAACTAAGGAGAAGAAATGCAATTGCATTCTTCTTCCATTTTTCAGACCTAATCTTATTTTTGTCATCAGAGGAAAGTTTGTATATTTGGCACCTGATCAATATATACTTTGCTATTTAATATTTTTGAAATGTGAGAATAATATCATATTTCCTCATGCTGTATTGAGGCAGGAAAGAGACCAGGTGATGTTAGCATCAAAGGAAGATGCTTTCTCATCCCGTGGGAAGACCCTATTCATGGCTGCATATACCTCTACCTTGATTATCACTCACTTTATCATCAAAATAGGCAAGCGATTTCCTCTGGCATGATGAAGTCCGTGTGTGTGTGATACGACTTTTCCGATCCATGTTTAGGGGAAAGGTTGTTTCTTTTACTTACCTAAAATCCTGCCCAGTACCAGAGATTTGACTGCACTGAATTCTGTGCCTGATGCCAGGTGAACTTCTCTCCTTGTATTATCGTCAATCTACAAAATTATTATACGAGATAAAAACATTCAAATGGATGGCATTTTGTTGAGGAAACAGGAAGCAAAGGAGGACAAGAGAAAAAGATATATTAGGCAGTTGTTAGCATGGCCCCAAACATTAAGAAAAAAAAAACAAACTTTAAAAATGTAACTACTTATGTTTTTTAATGTTATTTTTACACTACCCTCAGACACCAGTGCATCCCACCTTCTATCCCCTTATATCATTTTATTTTTCTCCACTATATAAGAAATCCAAAATTGATGAAGCCAACAAGAAGAAATACAAGGTTATTTTTCACCTTAACACTTTTACTTGGTATTTTTATTTGAGGTAGGCAGGTAAGCTATCCTGTGTAGGATACCAAAAAATTATTAGCGCTTTTCTTCAAAAACTGGCTCCATGAATAATTCCACTTTCGTGGCTGGGACTCACATCATTAACAAAAATTATTCTGATATTACAATCATTATTTTCTGATAGATTTATTACTGCATTTATCTAAAGTAAACTGGTTTCATTAGTGTAGCAATGGTCCCAGCAGTAGTACACTATGACATCATTTTCCTTCTGAGCAGAAACAAGTTAGAAAAGATTGGCATTTTAACTATCTAATATTAATAATATAATGAACAAAATTGTATTGCTTAAAAAGATTCTGACTACATTTGATGGTCTATTATCTACAGAAGAAGACCACTGAAAGTGTCTCTGCTTCTTGTGCTCATTATCAAATTTCTGCTTGAGATCCATCATGCTAGAGAGTCATTACAATGATTGCTTCTGCTGAATTTACTATATTACCTCTACAAAGACCATTCCTTCTTCTCTGTTAATCATTATGTGGTGAAGTTGTCCATCAGCCATGTTTTTAAAATCAAAGTTAATGACATCAGGCTCTTGATATCTATTTAGCTTGTACCTGATCTGTAAACTTCCTAAAGTGGGGGAAAATAGTGATATTTTTAGTAAAAATTGTACTGTGAGAATGGCTTACTTAAAAATCAGAGTCACATTTTTGTTGTTAGTTAGTCATTTTGAGGGGAAAATTGGAAGATACCTTCTTATTATAATCCCCAGGAGTCCATTTCCAAGTGAAATTGCAATACTGTGTTTTCAAAATCACAACCAAGTATCTTACTCATAAGCACTATCTTTTCTGCAAATCTTTAATTTACTTCTCTAAAAATCAACTCAGATTAAGCATATGCAAATCTCTGCACTAGCTTCTCACTTAAAAAATAATATTAAGTGTTTCTGAAATGCCAAACCATTGTTTAATATTGCAATAATATTCTGTTTTTATAATCTTTAGAAAATACAACTCACACTCCAGAAATATAACAATTAATGAAATTATTAAAGGCAAAATAATTTTACTAAAGATAAGAAATACGGGCCGGGCGCGGTGGGTCAAGCCTGTAATCCCAGCACTTTGGGAGGCCGAGGCGGGTGGATCATGAGGTCAAGAGATCGAGACCATCCTGGTCAACATGGTGAAACCCCATCTCTACTAAAAATACAAAACATTAGCTGGGCATGGTGGCGCATGCCTGTAATCCCAGCTACTCAGGAGGCTGAGGCGGGAGAATTGCCTGAATCCAGGAGGCGGAGGTTGCGGTGAGCCGAGATCGCCTCAGTGCACTCCAGCCTGGGTAACAAGAGCGAAACTCCATCTCAAAAAAAAAAAAGAGAAAGAAAGAAAGAGAGAGAGAGAGAAAGAAAGAAAGAAAGAAAGAGAGAGAGAGAAAGAGAGAGAAAGAAAGAAAGAAAGAAAGAAAGAAAGAAAGAAAGAAAGAAAGAAAGAGAAAGAAAGGAAGGAAGGAAGGAAGGAAAGAAAGAAGGAAGGAAGGAAGGAAGGAAGGAAAGAAGGAAAGAAAGAACCAAGAGGTCACGGTCAGACACTTTGCCATGAAATAATGGTCAGATGCAAGGTTTTAAGCCAAATTTGCCATCAGAATTAGTACTACTCATTTAATTGCCTGCAGAGATGTCACTTAATTTATTTCACAGGATTTATTTCCATTTAACAAAGAAAATGCCCTAATATATAATGAAAGTTAAGCTCAAAATGCACAGTAAGGATAAATACACTTAAGGAATAATGTTATTTTTACTTTGGGGTTCAGTACCCTTGGGATATACTTGAACAGTTGAAATGACACAGTCATGTTTGTATGTTTACATTCCTTAACCAGAGAATTTATTTCCAAAAGTTTTACCTGTAATCCATATATGCAAAAGAGAAAAACAGCAGTCAGTGGTTTTCTGTAGGAAACAAATTTCCTAATAAACATGTCCTTAACACTGCATGGATATACTATTTTTTTTTTACCATGACAATTTTTTGACTGAAAGTACAACTAAAAGGTCATCTTGTGGACATCTTCCTATCCATTCTGCCAGTTTATTAACATTCCCTCAATGTTTCTTTGCTTTGATTTGCAGGAAATACTTATGTGCAACAAGACACCTGATTTCAAAATCAACTACAAAACAAATATTGATATTCATATGGAATAATCAAGGAACTTCTAACAGTAATAAAATATAACAAGCATTTTATATAAATAAAAATACACTGCATATGTAAAATTATCAAAATTATAAAGAGATGAAGGCATCTTAATCATTTTAAATAGTCCTTTTAGATTAGACTTACAGGATAGTACTAAAAATGTAAATACTAAAGACAGGCACACTCTGTCTTTCTGTTTGTAGCTTGAGAAGCAAGAAAACAAGAAAGATCCATATTACAGAGCTAGTGTTCTAATGTAATTTTCTCTCTTCTAAAAAGAACTCACCATTTTTGGCAATGATAATGGAAAGGTATTCTTTGTAAAAGGAGCTCACAAAGAGCAGCAAGCTTGGTGTTCGTGTTGTTCGGAAACTAAATTTGATCATTTCTCGGCTCAGCTTCGTATCACCATGAAATGAAGCAGCGTGGGAGCTGGAGTTTTTACTAAAAAGATAATTTTCTTGAAAATTGTATATCACGGATGAGCCAGATCCAAAATATGCAGAAATCTCTGAAATAACATGTATATATTTGGTTAAAATGTTTAAGTACAAGGATCCTGTTTTGGTTAAAATAATTGATATTTTAGTTGCTTTAAATAAAAAATTGCATAGAAAGAAGAAACAACCCCAAACTAGAATTGAATAAAAAAGTAAATTAATAGAGCTTTCATAATGATCTTTGAAATGGCTTTCTGTTAAAATGACATATAATTAATGCACTAGTATAATTTTACAGTTGAAAATTAAATGCTTTATTCTCTGAGTTCAAACACAAACCAGGCTTGTCTTCTATCTCCTTGATCATCTACTATTTTATTTAAAATTCAACTCCCATTTATTATTTTGTAGATAGTACACACTAGTCTTAAATGAAGTGCATCTTAAAAGAAGACTAGGGTATCCTAGCTACAAAATAGGAAGGAAGGATGTTTGAGAGATTCTTCTTTCCCAGGACGAACAGGCAGAAAGTTTCCTTTATGTCTAAACATTTTCTCATAGTTATTATACACTATAAAAAGAACGCTAAGTCTGGTGTTAACATGAGAGGGAAAAATAGGGTCAACAAACAGAACTAACCAACCTCTTTTAAATCATTTTAAGGAAATGTGTAGTATTTTCCTTATATGAGATTAATATCCCAAATTCTGTTTCTTTCCTTTCTCTCTCTCTCACACACACACAAAATATACATGTTTGAAAAAGAAGAGGATGGTAGGAGAAATAACTAGTTTTAAATCCTTGAATCTGCTTCTCTCCATTACTATAAAAAGGGCTGGTTACTACATACAAGTTGTAGATGATGCTTACTGGATCATACAGTAATGATGCCCTTGACATTTTAGGGGTTTTTATTTGTTGGTTTCATTATTTTATTATCTATAATGTATATTTTATATTCAATATAATATGTTCATACAGAGTAACATTTCTGGTTGCACTCAGCAAGATGAACTAGAAATTATTTACATCCAGAAAATGAAGACAGGTTATTTTAAATAAGTGGCCCTAATTATCACTTTAAAGATGAAAAGTGTCCTAGCCTGGTACCAGCAGTATATGATTATGATCACAAGTTCATTTGTAAATTATAGATTATTCCTGAGAAAAGCGGATGTCTTGAAAAGTGCATTTAGCCAACTTTTTATTAACTCATCCCCATGCTTTCTTTGTAAGTCAGGAGTTGTTTTAATTTGGAGCCAAGTTTTGTTAGCCTCCTTCAGGAAAAGGTTCAATAGCCAAGAGACACTTTAAATAAAGTAACTGAAGTAAAATTGATGTCAGTCTTCTATGAGGAACTATGAAAGAATAATAAATGTTTATATATTCATAGAAGTCTGTCCAGAACAGTTAATCCTACAATTGTTCTTCCCTTATTCCACGATGTGTATCAGAGAATGAGAAGCTGAAAAGTACTCTGCTATTTTATCTTACCAGCAGATATTCAACATATCATACAACAAAATGTATGATTAATGTATAAATGTATCTATTATTTAATATATCAATATTTAATAGTACATTGTTTACATTTCTGGAAAAAATATTTGTCTAAAAACTCAAATAAATAAAAATAAAAAACAATGCATCTTAATATCCTTGCTTTGTTGAATATCTTCAACAAAAATAATAGTAACAGGGCCAGGTACAGTTACATTTACAGTCTTTCATCCCCACATTTTGGTAGGCTCAGGCTGGCGGATCACTTGAGGTCAGGAATTTCAGACCAGCGTGGGCAACATGGTGAAACCCCAACTCTATGAAAATTAGCCAGATGTAGTGGTGGGCTCCTGTAATCCCAGCTACTTGGGAGGCTGAGGCAGGAAAATTGCTTGAACCTGGGAAGTGGAGGCTGCAGTGGTCCAAGGTCACACCACTGCACTCCAGCCTGGGTGACAGTTACAGAGTAAGACTCTGTCTCAAAAAGAAAAAAGTAATGCTTTAAATAATTTTAAAATAAGGAACTGCCCCAAGGGGCAGGTTGTTAACCAAATAATTTAAGAACAAAAACATTAGGTGGAAAAAAGCAGATTGAACACTTTAAAATACATAAGGTGACAATGGATTTATCATTAACAAACACTAGTTTTTCAGAAATGAGTCAAATATTTACGTAATGAAATATGATGGGCTTCATCTTTGAATACGTGATACTGTCTCCACCCCAGGATCTTTTACCGATTCTTTACATTCAATAGACACTTTGCCAAAAAAATTCAGAAACCGAAATTTTTTTTCTTTCAAATAGTTGCAAAGGACAGAACTGCCAGACATTTGAGTCACATTGAATACGCTTTTCTGCTCAAGTCTTCCATGCCATACTTACCGTTTGAGCAGAATGGCCCTGTGTATGCAGAGAAAGTGCAGTCACAAAAGAACCCAGTGGGCCTTTCTCTGCACTTCCCTGCATTGCGGCATAACTTCCCATAGCTGCTGCAATGTCCCCTACAACCTGGCTGCACTTCTGGAGTCACCTGGGCTCTTTCTTCCAAATCCAAGGTCATCCCATTCAACTGCAGAGACCGAATGCAGCCCAGAAAGCCTCTTTGTCTGGTGGCCGTTCCACCTAAAAGGGAAATACTGCAAATGGAAACACGTTCCTAGGTGTTTTATTCAGAATTTAAAGACCAAACAAAACCGAGGCCTTACAGAGAACAGAAAAAAAAAAAAAAAAAAGATGAGCAAATATAATTATTGAAACACAATTCATAGCTTCAAATACAGACTCCAAGAAAGGGAAAACTTTAATTCATTTCTTTGAGTTGAATATGTTACATTTTTTTGCTAAAAATATTTTGTGATCTTTAAATTGAGGAATAAAATAAAGGTCATACTATACTCTTATTCAAAGTAACAGTGACATGTATTGCTATTTTTAATGTAGAAACTACTATCTGGGAATTTTAATAAGTACATATTGCTGGGTAAATATGGTTCATCCTTCATATTTAAACCCAATCTTGATTCTGGTACAGTTTTATCTTTCTAAGAATTATGAAGGAAGCTCAAGATCTTCTGATGGTGCATTGACACGGTCCTTTGGTTGTTACCCATTCATTGAAAAGATGGCAATTGAAAGTCAGATTATTTGTTTTTGTCTGACATATTTCCCAGTGATTGTTTTTCTAAAGGTTAGTCTAGTGTTCATTGTTTTATGCTTGGAAAGATTTTTTTAAAAATTGCAAAAGGGAATCAATACAGAAATATGTGATGTAACATTTATTGAATATATAACCATATGTACTTATCAAGTCACCCTTAATGAGGGCTACAATGTTTGGTTGGAATCAGACCCCATTATTCTAAGGTAGAGGTTCTCAAACTTTAAGAAATAGGGATAATACATAATCACATGGAGAGCTTCTAATAAATGGACTCAGTAGCTTGCCCCAAGAAATACTGGTCTGTGGTCCAAAAATAGGGCTGTGAATCTTAAGAGTTAACAAGGCTTGCAGGAGATTCTAATTCAGATGATCACTAGAACATCATTCTATGAGCACTATCCTGACAGAATTGTAAGCCCCGAGTGGACTCACACATAAATTTGTGTCCAGGAATACCCTAAGTTAATGCTCACAACTTGAGGTGGTAAAATAGTACCCTAATCTAAATAACCTGGTAACTCTAATGAGAGGCATCAGATGGTTGTGAGACCTTTAAAAAGAAGCTCCATCTTTGGATAAATGATGCTGTCTCATTACCAAGACCTTGTACATACTCTTTACATATAAATTCTCTTTTCCTAAAACATGTTCACTTCATTCTCTTCCAAATCACTTAGGTAGCTCCTTAACTTAGCCTCATTCAACAAGGGCTACTGCAATTGGTATTGTATCTCCAACACAAAGAACAGTGCTAGACAGATAATTTCTGTGTTATAACTATGAAATCCATTCATTCACTCATTTGTTAAACCACATTATACATAAAAGTAGGATACGTGGGCATAAAGCTTCAAGGGTAAAGAGGGGGCCCCTTCTGTCCCACAGAGATGCTTGGGTCTCTGAGACTAAGGTCCAGATTTAATAAACTAATTATATATTTGCAAATAATGAAAAACTATGAAAAGGAACCTCAAAGAATTCCTGAAAATTCTGGACTTTGGAGCATTAACCCTATTCAGAATTCAGATTCATAGATATAACTCTATGCAAATTGTTGTATTTAAATGTCTATTCAAATTGTTTCAGTTTACATGATTTGTTTCTCCTTAATGAAGGATGCCAAGGTCTTAAGGGTGTTGCCATTCTTCCTATGTATAAATCTGTTTATAAAACTAGATAGTGTCAACTTATTGCCATTGTCACACATAATCATGGTAGAGATGGAGTTAATTTCATTACGGAGTTTCAGAAGGCCTGTAAATATTATTGTTTAATTTTTCCTATGTTTACATTTACTCAGTCTTCTGCCATTCTTTTTAGTTTTTGTAACATGGGTGCCCAACTGAATTGTTCATTCTTTTTTGTAGCTCTGTTTTAAAAATTGTTTATTAGACACACAATAATTATTCATATTTATGGCATACATAGTGATGTGATACATATAATGTGTGGTGATCAGATCAGAGTAAGTAGCATCTCCATCATCTCAAATATTTATCATTTTTTAGTGCTGGGAACATTCAATGTCTTCCTGGCTATTTGAAACTACATATTATTGTAAACTATAGTCACCCTACGGTGGCACAGAACACTATAACTTTTTCCTTCTATCTAGCTGAAATTGTGTATCCTGTGACAAATCCCTCTCTGTGCCCCCTCCCTGTACTCTCCCCATCTTCTAGTAGCCTCTGTTCTACTTTTTACTTCTACGAGATCATCCTTTTCTAAGCTTCTTTATATGAGTGAGATAATGCTGTGTTTAACTTTCTGTTCCTGGTTTATTTCACCAAACATATGTCCTTCAGTTCTATCCATGTTGCTGCAAGTGACAGGATTTTATTCTTTTTTATGGCTGAATTGTATTCTATTACATATGTGTGTGTGTGTGTGTGTGTGTGTGTGTGCGCGCGCGCGTGCGCGCATGCCACTTTTTACCCATTCGTTACTGGACACGTGGGTTGAGTCTACATCTTGGCTATTGTCAACAATGTTGCAATAAACCTAAAGGTACAGTGTCTTTTCAACTGATTTTTTTTTCTTTGGATAAATGCCCATTAGTGAGATTGTTGGATCATATGGTACTCCTATTTGTAGTTTTTTGAGGACCCTGCCATTCTTGAAGTCTCTCTTCTGCCCTTACACCCAAGATTTTTCTTTTTCTTCCACACCAGAGCTGCTACTCCTTTATCTTCACACCTCCCTATTCTTCCATTCTGTTGACTCAACTCAGTGAGCTCCCAGGGCCAAAACTCTCTGGCCAAGATTCTTTTGGGATCCTTCTTGGATATTTCTTCCTGGGTAAGGCAGCTAACATTTTGGTTTTCACTTCAACACAGGAACTTTTTGCAGGGGCCACATACTGTGAACTCTGAATTAAAGGTATATTCCTGGTGTATTTAATATACTTTGTATTATTCTGCATTAAATCATAGTTTACAGTCCATAGTAAACAGCAACGGTAAATCACATTGTTATATATTTGCTGCTCTGAAACATACACAGTCTCCCTAACTCAGGGGCTTATCTCATTCTGCCAGTAACAACATAACGAAATAACTTGGGGTCCAATGACTGACTAAAGTCTATTTCCAATTCTTCTAACTGGATTTTTTTGTGTTTGTTTAGTTTGTTTTGGATGATGGGAAACTAGAAGCATAAAGAATTTCAAAGATTGGTCCATGGGTCCATCCATGGAAATACTAGAATTAACACATTTAGCTAAAGGCAGGGGTAGGCATTGGACCCACAAATAGCCTTTCATTCCAAGGAAGCTTCTTTTCACACCACTATGTGGTAAAAGAAGAAGACTGTTCCATTTTCCTGTATGCCTCAGATCATCTTTGGATTGAACAGCTCCTCAGCTCGCCAAGCTTTATTTAGCAGCTCTTTCTGGGCACTGAAGGTATGAAACTATATGAAATCAATCTTGCTGTCAAAAAGCTCTAGTAATAAGTTTAGATGGGGAAACACAAGATTACTAGAAGATAACAAGAATAGATACACAGTAAGGAAGAAAGTCAGAGGGTGGGATGAATAGCAGGAGAAAATATGTGTATATACGTGAGAGATACATACTTAAATAATACCTGTAAGAGTGAGAAGAAAATCAGCATGCAACTTTATAAAAAGGACATCTTCATTCTGTACTTTCAGAGATAGTTTTACCTAACCAAATCGTTTTAAGCTACATTTTAAGTGACCAGAAAACATAATGTCTAATTAGACACAGACCACTGTGTCATATATGTGTTTAGAATTTTGCCTTTACCGTTAGGTTTCAAGTTAATAACTTTATTTTCAGATGTAACTATTCTGAAAAACATGCCTAATGTAAATAGGATTGGGCTTGAAAGCTTAATTAAACATTCCAGTGCCTTTTCAGGGTTAAAGTGTGTCCAATGAAAATGAGTTTCACTTTGGTTAATTGATTCTGGATGTTTCCACTGAGCTATTATGTTTGGAACTGTCTTCCAATTAATTTTCTATCAATTTACCTGCCATGTTATATCAGATATAATGAATTTCAGGACTTCACAAACACCAAGTATCTTGTGAAACAAATGCCTAACCTTTCCATGTTTATTGAGAATAACTGAACCTGTCCACTTATGTAATGCTACTGAGGTCTTGCATCTAAATTATTTGTCGGGTGCTGAGCAGAGACCCAGCACCAACCCTTTCCTCATGTTCATTATTATCAGGAAATGACTATAAGTGACAGATGTTATGGTCATGGAGTAGGAGCTAGATCTTTCTTATATCAATTTTCCACTACTTTTGTGGCAGGAAGACCTTTGAGATTACACTTTACATTTTTAATGGCAAATTATTCATGTGCTGTGCTTGAATATTATCGAGAATTAATTGGGAACAACTGCATAACTCACCCAGGGGCCTTACAGAAATAAAGAAATCAAGATCCTCAAGCTTCTCTTCAAAACTCAAAGCTATAGAAATTTGCCTGGCAGAGTACAAGGATACTCTCTGACCTCAGCACTATGGCAAAGGAAAAAAGGCAAAGCCCCAACCACCAATTAACTTGGGGCAGGAAAGTGATAGGGCATGCAGGCTGGGCCCAGGACCAAGTCAAGGGATTGAAGGGGAAAAGCTGTCTTCTGTATGTCAAGCACTGGACCGTGAGCACTGCCCGCATACTGGAGGAAGACCTCTCCTTGCAGAAATGGTGGTGTTGGTTAACGTAGGAGTCAGGGAATCTGGAAGTCCAGCTGTAAGTTTGTCATGCACTGTTCTTCATTAAGCAAAGTCCCGGAAAGGACGGGAGGAAGAGGACTATTCTTTCTCTTGTTCAAATAACTATTATGGTTCAAAGAGCCAGCTCTTGTAAGTAACAGTGTCATGGGCAGAAAATTCAGTCACTTTTCCCTGAACCAAAGTCAGTGGTGAAAATGTGCTAATGCTACCCCAGTAGCAGTAGCAGCAGAAAGAATGAATTAGACTTCTC